TTATTAAAACATTTGTTATCTCTCATCCCTAGGATTTTGACTTGTCGAGAATATCTTTAATGCTCTTCGACTTCATCACTCTCGGATTAATTCTCTGTATAATTAATGATACAAAAGAAGTTGCTATAGTTGAAAAGTCTCGAATTTTGCAAGCAATGGCAATTCAAGAATATATTATGCAATTAAATAAAAATTATATAAAGAAATTTAAAATTGTTATTTAATCCCTAACAGCAGCAATCACGTTAATTTTGAATATCGTTGTCATGAAACTCATCTAGAAAAACTTGTCAATTTTACACTCATATAACTTATAATCTTTTTATAGTTTGTGATATCGCAACTCCAGATGTTTCCGACTTCGTAAATTTTTCCGACAGTTAGCTTTATCTGCTGCAACATCAAACTTCTAAATTGATATAAAAATTAGTGGTCATTGATTGCTTGATGTCAGGATCTTTATGGGAATAGAATATGGCACATTCGCTTTAAGACACCTAAAACTGACGCGTTTTTCTGTTTTCTATTTTTTCTTCGTTCGCGCTTTCAAGTTCTAAAAAAAAATAAATTGGTTAAGGGGATTAACCAAATAAATTAGACTTCATTTGGACAAGGTCGCCATGAAGGGCATATGGCAAAAGAACGCTTCAAAAGTCTTCTTCCGCCATCATAGTATCCCAATCATAACATCTTCGATTTTCTCATTTATGAATCGGATATATTCTATATATATTCTATACAGATATCATATTTTAGGTAAGCTTATTTGATAATACCTTCGACCGTCCAATACTACGCAATAAAGATTATAAAAGAATTTTTTTTTTTTTAAAAAAACTAAAATCAAAACAGGTTTGTGTGGCATTTACAAATTTTCAGGGTGTTAATGTTACATTTATTTCTTTTAAACGGCAATTCCCGACAAAGGAAAATACCAATAGTTCTAAATTTAATTCTTTCACACGTGATTACACTCACGCAAATGATAATTATGGCACCTTAAAGTTTCTTTTTCGTTACTTTTCGTTTCTACAATAATTTTGCTTTGTACAATGTATCGATTATCTTCATCTCGGCATCCGAATTATCCGACATTTTTTATCATTTGATATCCTAAACGAGTTTCATATTTTGGTAATATGAACAATATTGACGGAGATATTACGTTACCAAAAGATTTTTATGTAGTTTAAACTTGGATCGACTCATTTTAATCATCAAATTGCATTATCTTTATCGATTTCACTATTACTAAAAAAAAGAATCTTGTATTATTATTTATTTTAAAATCATGCTATTTTCAATGTTGGAGAAATTTTAATTTCATTATATTTTGTGTAAATTTTTTGACCTGCGGTTTATGTCCGTTAACATTTCAAAAACAACTGGGGTTGGTTTTGGCCAATATGTTTCATTCTTTTTTTTGTAATTAATATACACCATTGAAATTGACCAAATATCCGCAGCATTTAGTCTATATAACTTATAAAATACGATTAAACCCGTTAAAACATTTAATCTAAATGGATAAATCTACTTTTTTTTTGCGTCCCAAAGTCTCACGAATTCAGATTATGTCCAGAAATAATCTTTATAGTGAACTTACCCAGAAGATCTAATGGATCTGAGAAAAAATTTAAGTATCCTAGCAGATCAATCCGAAATAATTTCTCCTTTACATCATCGAATTGGATTCTCGATGCACATTATTTGTCTTGTGGTTGTTATCTTATTAGTCCTTTTTTGAACATATTCCCCGTTTATCACCTCAGATGAGTTTAATACTAAACATTTAACGTATTTACTTGATGACGATTTAATCGATCGCATTTTCTTAACAATGTGCCCTTTTTTTATTTACAGTATGAAAACTTTTTTTTTATGGTTGGTTGATTTTTATACCTAATTTGGGAGTTATCGATTAGTTATCTCTGCTACGCCACATTTATCATCAAAGAAATTCTCGTTTATAAATAACTTAAATCATAGTAATTGTAATTCGTGACAATGCCTGGCTGGTTATACTATGTTTTCTTGAATATTTTTTTGTAGAAGAAAAAAAAACCATAAATGAAACTTATCTACTGATAAAATATCATTTTTATTAATTTTATTCAATTAAACAATCCTATAGAAGCTTCATTAAACTAGTTTAATTCCCTAATAAGGTTTGAATTTTTTTTTAAAGAAAAATGTTTGATGCCTTGATTTCTGCGGTTACGACTGCCGAAAAGCTTGTTAATAAATACATAATACCGTTTCTTTTCGATTGAGGTACCGTTTAGGGAGATCAGCAAATTAATCAATTAAATCTCGATCATCTTATGTCGGTCAGTCACATAATTGACATTGTCTTTGACCGATAATGTTTATGACCCCTTTCATATGAACCTACAGCATCTTACCAAAAGGATCTGGTTGAAAGGTCATGAGTTCGCATTTGTATCACCGTACACGCATCAATTACATATAATAATTATTTGAATAAAATCATAAACATTATAAAAAAGAGGTTTCAACCGTATCGGTATCTTTTGGTTTTTTTTTCTGTATCTCTCACCGTCTCGCGGTCTACTAAAAAAAAAGTGATTAGTTAGAAGAGGTAAACTTTTATCGCACGTTTTTTTTTTGTACTCTGTAATATGATTTCCGTTGTTCTGTGTAACATCTTTCCCCGTTGTACATTTAATCACTACATTGATTTGTTATGCTTCCTAAAAAAATTTTCTCTTTTCTTTCCGACTTTGTTATCAATTTTTTTTTTTTTTGTGTTTTGTTTTCATTTAGTCATGGCCTCACATCTAAAAACCAAATGTTGCTACGAATTCCTTCTTTCCAACGTTTCAAAGATTAATACGACGGTATATAGTGCCCCTTTTGGTACTTCTCACGACATGTTTTGGCAACTCGAGTTCATTCCTGTACGTACATACAATATTTGATGAAAAATCTATTAGATCGAAAAAAGATTTGATAAATTTGTTAACGATAAAAATAATCTTTCAACGTTCGACTATCAAAAAATTTTAGACATCATCTGAAGAAACCGAACATTGTGCAGCATTTCTCTTCGCCATTCCAAATTATGAAGAGGCAAGTTGTACCGGTATATGGTCGAGGAGAAGCCTTTTATCTGCCAAAATATATTTGAAAAACGCAAGAAATCAAACTTTCCTCAAGAAGCAATCCGTAAAAATGAACTCATTCTCCGCAAAATTATCCGGATGGGGTATGAACCGAATCATCGCATTTATTTGCAATGCTAATTAAATGGATCGATTTGTTTTGACGCATATCAACTTTTTATTTTAAAATTCCATAGGCTGGGAAGCTTTCTTTAATAAAGCTAATTTGCCGGATCATGTTTTATTCGGTGTAGAATTTGATCGAGCTGAAATGGGGATGGTCTCCCAAAAATGGCCACTACCAAGTAATCCTCAGTTACCTGATCCCATCCCACAAGATCTGGTGAAGGCGTGGGAGGGTCAATTGAATAATCCCGCAATGTCCGATGTTCAATTCAACATTCATGGAAATATAATTTATGCTAATTCATCGATCCTTTCCACAAGATCTAAATATTTTCAACTTATATTCCAAGGGAAATGGTTAGAATCGGATCCGAAAGGAAAGTTAGAGCCCGTACAATTCACGGCCAAGGATAGAAAGAGTTCTAATAATTTCAATAACCTTCAAGCGCCGACAACGACGAGATGTAATCATGTAATCGATGTCACCGATTTCCATTATCAAACTTTTTTAGAGATGTTGCGATTTCTCTACACGAACAAGGTCACATTCATTGAGAAAAGGGAAGATCAGAATTCATACATTACGGCTTTGGATCTCTTTAGAATCGCTGATAAATATTTAATAGACGATTTACGTTTGCAAGCTAAGAATGAAATCTTGAATTATTTGACAGTAAATGACGCTGCGGAATTTCTGTTCGGAACGGCATGGAAATATCCAGAATTAAAGGAACATACAATGAAATATGTGGTTTTGAATTTTGTCAATATTAGGCAAACGACCGGATTCAAAAATATTTTATCGGATTTATCAAATTATCCTCAATACGGTGAAATATTTAACGAAATTTTATCAGAACTATTTCCAGCAACCGGAACTGTTAATACAGGAAAACCTGCTAAAGAAGAAGCACCTTAGAAGTATAGAAACAAAAGGTTTTTTGATAGAATATATTAATTTTTTATTTTAAAATATTAAAAGAAAAATTTTGTAGATTATTTTTCTTTTTTATTCTTAAATTATGCTATTTTTCTTTTTTATTGCATTCGGGGGTTAATAGAAAGGCTTTTTTTATCTTCGTCTTTGTTTAAATTTTTTTTCTTTTACTTTACCTGTTCTAATTTGTAGATAGTAATGTTTCTAAAAAAAAAAAAAAAAAAAAAAAAAAAAAATTTTTTTTTTATTGTCTTTGGTCAAAATCTAAAATGTACTTTATTTGTAACAATATTAAAATCAATCATATAAACGATAATCAGCAAATCTCAAATTCTCACGGATCTTGACATTTGGTCAGCTGATTGATTATGACTTCATTTGAAATCATATCAATTACCATAAAAAGTTGCAATATTTTCCGATATTTATAAATAACAAAGGGTCCGTCAAATTTAAAGACGGGGTTTTACTATTTTTAGTTTGTTTGAACTAAAAAATAAAATTTTTCCGGCTTACGAGATAAGCTATACCCCCCACAATTTCATATTATATAACATTGAAAGTCCCTTTTATGGAATAACACCAAAAAACAGTTACTATCCACTCCGAAATCTTATCGTTCATTCATTTAAATAAATAAAACGCCGAAAAAAATCAAAATTTCAGTGCGTCAAGTTTTTATTTATTTATTTATTTTATTACTAGTGCGTCGTCAATTGATGATTTTCTATTGATATTAAGTCATATATTGAACATGGGGGAATCTAATCTATTTAATGTTTCTTATTTTAAATATTTTAAAAAATTATAAATTAATTGTCAATTCTTTGAAATAGCTTGACACAATCTTTAGCGATAGCTGAATTAATTTTAGTAGTTACATGGAAAGCATCCCAAAAAAAGAATTGTTCAGGGTCTTCACAAATAACAGGGTTAGTAAGATTTGAATAAATAGTATTACAAGCATCTATTACATTGGTGATTTTTAACTCCTCTTGACCTTTGTCTGACATATAATAAGCGAATATTTCAACAGTTGTAAACCTATAAATATTAACATCATTATGTTGCTCGGCGAATGATTTCAAGTAATCACCTAAAGCATCATTATGAGCCTTAACGATGGCCTTGTACGATGTCTTAATTTCTGACGATAAATCTTTAAAGAATGGTAATAAGGAAAAATCTTCAATATCTGCTACAAGGAATGATTTTGCTCCTGCTGTAGCTAATTTTTCAAATGAAAGACCCATGGATTCCACAACTTTTGATGGTTCAACTGTAAAATTTGTGAAAAAGTAGTCATTACCGGCATCCCAAAACTAATTTTTAAAAAGAAAATGAGTTAATTAAATATATATATTTATTTATTTATTTTTTAAAAAAAAAGATATGAATTTTTATGATACTTACTGCATATAGAGTATTTCCGTGATCATTATTCTCAAGAAGATATTCATCCACTTGTTGTTTAATTCCAGGCACAGGAATGTCCTCCGTAGCTCCTGGAACAACAAGTTTACTAATAATCCCTTGAACTAAATCATTACTAAAAAATATGTAAAAAAAAAAATAAAATAAAATAAAGAAATAAAATAAAAATTTGTTAGAATGGCTCTTAAATTTGGATATCAAACGTAATATTGTTTTATCACTTACTCGGAAGTTGCACCACCATACGCTTTATTTTCTAATTCCGCCCCGAAAATCTCACCAAGATATTCGACCCACATTTTCCCATTGCTAAATCTACCTTCGTAAAAATTTGCCGGTGATGGCCATGTTTGATTGGTCAATTTGTACACATTTCCACTATCTAATTTGAAATATTTACTTTTTTAAAAAATAAGCTCGGGAGGAAAAAACAAATGATGATTTATGGAATGATTTTTTACCAGTAAATGAATCTCCAAATGAGACCAAATTTTTGAATTGTAATTCTGGAAGAGGTGCAGCAAAAATTGTCGTACCGGCAATGAAAACCGTTACAAATATTGCAGAGGTAATAGATTTTAATTTCATTTTTTTTTTTTTTTAAAAAAAATTAAGGATTAAAAGACAAATCAAAAAAATATATAAAATTGGATCCGAATAATGATTTAAATCCGAAATTGTCTAAAAGAAAGAAAAAAAAAACCGGATATAAAGCTTGCTTATTTATAGATATCAATCGAAATGGCGCAGTTGATCTATGCATGTAATAATTATTTGCGATTGCGCGTCGACATTCATTCTAAATATAAATATCTCCGAGACAATTGTCAATTTATGTAACTAGAACAAGGAAACTTGTTAATTCAGGTAATACAATTTTTTAAATATTGTTTATTCGGAATTTGCAGGCATTTTTAATAAAGAAAAATCTTCTTCTCGCATAAATAAGGATCGTAGACTATTAATTCACAAATAATAAACAACCCATCATTCAGTGAATCGAAGCACGACATAGGCTAGTTGACATCTTTATGTAATAAGATTTATAAGCAAACGTGGCCCAAATTACAAATATAGTTATTTAATGAGGTATGGTAGGCCTTCTTCTCATTATTAATTCTTAGATAAAATGTTATGTAACGTTTGTTCACGTTTTCTCTCGACACGGAGCAAAGATATCTTATTGACAGCATTTGAATTAAAAATATTTTTAATATGATCCAATAAATAAATATATTTATTTACTCCTAATAATGACTTGATTTCAATTGAATTGTAAAACAACTCCCTGTATGCATACATTCACCTCCATAATAATAATAATCGCACTCCCTCGAAACTAAAAAATCGGTTATTTTAAAAAGCTTTTTATAATGTTAAGGTTTTTTTTTTATAATAAATTATTATACTTGTACTTAACACATAGTTGAATATAAGAGAGTCGAATTTAGTTAAAAGTGAATTCTGAAATTCAACTATGATTACTATAGTAAAGTTTTAACTAATTTTTATTTTTTTTTTTATTTTTTTAAAAAAAAAGCTGTGATACTCGGCAGATAATCCCGAAGATGCCACAGATGAACATATGCAATAAAAAGAAAACTTCCGAATACCAACCAGGCCGAAAAACATTAAGATGCAATTGCAATATTGGTTCATAATTATGCTATGTAATTTTGAACAATTTTAAATGTATGATTTGGTTAGTGATCATCTTTAGGGAAAATTATAACGGTAAATTGATTAGCGCTAAATATGAACATCTCGGTCCTGAAAACCATATTTGGCAAATGAATGGAATATATTTATATTTGAATTCCTAAAATATTTAACGATTTTTTTCTTGCCAATCATTAAATTACTTATATGATACGATATGCTTGGCAAGAAAACCATTAGATTTAATCAAAGTTTATATTTGTAAATCTAAACATCACTATGTCGTGTTCGTTTATTAATGTTCTACAAATGCATGTTTCAAATCATTTTTATTTCTTCTAAATGCCAACTTAATTGGATATATTCCGTTCCATTTTTTTAAAAAAAAAATTTTCTTTTGATATACAGTAGGATTGATTGTATTCAATTGACACTCTATAATTAGAACATGTTTCTGTTACATATTCAAAAGAATACCTAACGCTAAATTAAACAATAGAATAATAATTTGGTAATTTCCATTCAATTTTTTTTTTCAACGAAAAAGGAAATTGGCGTAGTATAGATGGTATACGCAATTATTAATTGAGAAAAATATTGCATTTCATAATATCGCATATATTGCAAATTTAAAGAGTGAGAAATTTTTTCTTTATTATATTCTTTCTTTTTAGATCTGTATTGTGATTTTAAAATTACCACACTTTGAAAATCTAGACATGAAATTTAAGATTCTACCTGCTCATACTACAAACTTCACTTATTTCTTTTACAATTTATCAACCCTTCATAAATTATAAAAATTTGACACAAATTGTAATCAATGTTAATATTATATTGAAATTACTGATTTTAATATCTCAATTATTATTTATCAATATTTTTAATTATCAGATGCATTATTTATTATTAAAATACAATGAATTTATTATTTATTAATAATAAATACTGTCTAAAAAATCAGAGACATCTTTTATTGTTAGAACTAGAGGTTAGAACCGGTTTCATTTTCACAAATCGATTTTACACTTTTTTAATTTGAGACCCGAATTTAAACTGAATTTATATAAAAATGATTCAGTTGTAATAAAACGAAAAACTGAATTGCGATTAATTTTATTACTGCAAATTCATAAAAATCTCACAAAAAAATACAAAAACTTCAAAGGAAAAATTCGTTAGTTTACACAATAAAAAATAAAAATTTGAAGGAATGATTCGTAAGAATCTAACAAAAAAAAAGTATAATTCTACATAAAATAAATTGGGAAAATTTTTAAAAAAAAGTCGCGAAAGTTGGATCATAACTTTCTTTTATAAAAGAATTTGTAAAAGAATAATAATTTAAACTTTTTACGCCATTGTCGAAATTATATCAATATCTAATGTTGCATAATTATCAAATGTTAACATAAATATCATATTTCAGAGTTTGATTTTAATGCGTCATTAAATTCAATAAACTGATTTTATTAAAACCAGTTTTCAAATCTGAAAATCTAGAACAACCGGTTTAAACTGAATTTAAATGCATTTACACCAAACCTCTAGTTAAAACAATAGTTTTATTATTTTTAAATAATCTATTCTAAATAAAAATGATATTACAATTATTTTAGTGTTTTAGACAAAACCTTTTCTCAAATCTAAAATTAGAATTTTCAGTTTCATCTTATATATCTAAAAGTATTTAAAAACCTAATTTGAAAACACTTTATACAGTCAACTTTCTATAACTACATTCTATATAAATACACATCCTTTAATGTTTCTCTATATACATTGCAACAATTTTTAAATTCATTATATAAAATTTTAATATAAATACACTCTCACGTGACTTTATATAATTTTAATATTATAATACATAATAAAAATTCTTTTTAATTTAATAAAAGAATTTTTCATTGAGTTAAATTATCCATAAATGCTATATAACATGTTACAGCTATGGTATTACAAGTGTTTTTAGATTAAGATAGGTGATGATGATACTAATGATAATGATAAATTCTGGACAGTTGATGATGATATCGAAGAAGTTGATGATATCGATGATTTGTGGGAATATAGTAAACCATATACCGGATATGATTATATAACCCATTTTGGAAGAGAAACATGGAATAAACTTCTTCAAGCTTAGGGAATTCACCAGGCGCCTTCCGAATATTTCTGAACAGGTAAAGGATGAATTATTTGAAAGTCCTTTTATAGAATAATAACTGTGGCTTTGGTTGCTACAAAAAACCTGATTAGCGGATCATCTCGTGACCAAAGATATATATTGTATAGAACATACATGTAGATCTCTGAAAATAATATAGTCGTCATAGTCACTACATTAAAAATATTTATCGCAACAATCTACATTTCAGCAAAGCATAACATACAGATTGAGATTATTGAATTATTACAAGAAATAAGCTACATTACATATTTTTTTACAACTATAAAAATTTGATCTAATGAATACAGCATCAATTCTATTTGTAATATCCTTCAAAGTCACGCAAAAGCAAATTTGACATAATACAATAATAATTCATTTCTCATTATTACTGTAGAATTCACGTACATTTATATCTAGTACATATTGTTTTAGATCATTGATCCATGATGAATGACTATAACTGACAAGGTTATTGGAACCCCTATAGCTTTGCCAAGG